CGTATAGGAAGCACGTTTGTCGTAATTGACATAACGACACGGAATTGTGAATTCGCGAAATTATCGCGCGGGAGAGAAGCTCGGGAAGCTTCCTGGGCACAAGAATATACCCCTCTCGTCATGTTTATATTTTCTCCCGGCGCGGCGGCAAGGACGGATTTGAGCACCACTGAAGCCAGCCGAAGTCGCGTGCGTGACCCAATAGCGAATCAGCAGGCGAGCAGGCCGAAGGCAACAAATTGTTACTTGTTGCGCGTCGTCAATTCGGAGTTTCTTGCTCCGACTACTCCTCCGTTTGGTCTGATCGTCGCCGAGGCGACGTCTTCGGCGGCGACGTGACGCGGATGACGTGACCGGTCCGCGAGAAAGAGAGCGAGCGAGGAAGCACGGGGCGGCGGACGCGTGGAGGAGGAGGACGACGACGACGACGACGACGCGCCCCTTGACGTAGGCCATTTTGCGCGGCGTCGGGACTGATGAAAGGGCCTGTTCCTTCAGGGGCAAACGCAAAGCTCGCTCGCTCTCCCTTTCCCAGGTAAACGTGTTCGCGCGGCCGAGAGCTCGAGATTGCCTTCCCTCGTACGTTCGGGTAACATCCCTCCGAATATACGAGCGTCTGGAGTTCGTTCAGAACGTTGCGTATGGCTCGCAGATTTCCGTGATGTCGAACGGGAGTAGCAAGTGAGGAAGGAACTGGTCTGCCCGGAGGAGATACGATCGAATAAGGAAACGGCCCGGAGATAGAAATCGCTACGTGACGCAATGGCAGAAACGGTGGAGAACATAGGTGAGTGAAGCTGGTTCAGGGTGTTCAGGCTCCTCCTTACGAATGCAAGATGTAGGACAGTCCCGTCGTGTGCCTGTAAAATCGCTTGCAAGTACCGTACGTGATTGCATAAAATTTAAGTTCTTCAAATCAAGTAAATCTCCAAGTAAACAAACCAAGTAAAGCTTTAAAAAGAACATGTGACGAAACCACTTTGTAGATCATTGCTTCTTATACGTAATTTACGCAAAGATTTTAGCCATATATTTTTTATTCATTTTATAGTGCTTAAATTTCTAACAGATAATTTAGACCAAAGAATTGTATATTAGAACAGTCGAATTGAGTGAATTAATACTAAAATAGACGTTCAGATTACATAAGATCGCAGAGTTATTTTATTCATTTTAATATATCATAAAAATGATTTATTAAAGCAATGATTTCATACATGTAATTTGTGTTCAGGAATTTTAGTTCTTTTATAAACAGTTCGACAAATCTTCTTGCAGAGATCATAAAGATTGAGGAGTGTACTGATGATGCATTACTCGAGGACGAAGCCACGGAGATCTTGTTCGGTAATTCAATCATTTAGATGTAAAATATTTAATACTGTAATATGATTTTAATTATTTAAAACATGAATATCCTGTTGTTGCAGATGGGAACGTCTTACAAGACGATTCTATAGTCGTGGCCAGTAGACCAGCCACTGATAATGAAAAAGGTAATCGTATTTTGTACATGTGTATATTAAGGGTGTTTCGAAACTTAAATACGATTTGATAAGTTTGCTGTTAATTTTTCGCAACCGCGTAATTTTTAAAGGAGACATCTTGTTGTGTATATTTTTAAATACATTCACGTAACTTCTGCAAGTCCACAAAATATAGTTTTGATGCTTTATTTTATCATTTTTCGTTCCGTTCACCGCGTTATCGTTTATTTTGCTTTGTTAACAGATGATGTGGTTATTTCGATTATAACTGATTATCAATGTGTCACGTGTCACCGTATTTTCCAGTCGGAGGATGTAAGTTGTAGTTTTATTTTTTGTTTTTGTTTCTAGCTTATGTTCTATATAACTATCCTGCTTTTCGTTTCTATTAATGATTTCTGTCTCGTAATTCTGCGACAGATGCTGCAGAAGCATGTAGACGTGTGTAGAGAGGAGGATGACTCAGGCAATATTATGCTGGATAATATGGAAAATTACGATTCAGAGGAGGAGGACGAAGAGGATGAGGATGATCCTCTAGGTTTGAGTGATGATGGTATGGCTGTGCACTGAACAGGATCGTTTGATTAGTCTTACGTTTTTTCAAATTATCTTATAATCTGACTTTTACTTCCAGATTCGGATTCTAAGAGCCAAAAGAATAACAATGAAAAACCTGTCATCAAGCCCGTGCCCGACACGCAGTGCCATTGCTGCGCGGAGGACTTAAAGACGGCGCATAGCGGCGGCGAGTACAAGTGTTCACATTGCGATCTCAGTTTCAAGAAGAAGGCGTCACTCGAGAGACACGTTATAGTCGTACATTGGAAGTGCGACTCGTGTGTATGCAACGAATGCGGCTCTTCCTTTCGCGACAAGAAAGCCTTGAATAAGCATCGCTATACGACACACGGAGATCACAAAATTTTTAAGTACGTTTACACGTGTGCATGCAATACTTTCCTTAAAATTTCTCATAAGATAATTTTCTAAAAATGACTGCTTATCGTAATTAATGTAAACTATAACACCATATTAATTTAAGTCTTTTCCATCTAGATGTATAAATATTGCTATAAAGTTTTAACTTCACAATAATTTCTCTTATTTTCTCTTATCATTCTTGCTCTAAAGATTAATTACTTATCGTAATTAATATAAATTATAACACCATATTAATTTAAGTCATTTCCATCTAGATGTATAAATATTGCTATAAAGTTTTAACCTCACAATAATTTCTCTTATTTTCTATTATCTTGCTCTCTTTATTATCACTTTACGATTTTTGTTTTTACCTAAAATTACATTTTTAGATGTGACCCTTGCGACACTTATTTCTCCCGGAGCTACCACTTAAATCGGCATATTATGCAATCCGGCTGTCACGGTAACATACTTAATACGTTCAGATGTCAAGTGAGTACAATTATCCACCGATAACTCTTAAAAATTAAAGATTCTAGAGCGATCTATAATAATCGAATGAACGTTATTGTAGGTTTGCGAGAAAGACTTCACGCGTAAGGACAACCTGCGGGAACACTTGCGTACTCACGCGGGAACGCCCCAGAGGCAAAAGAAGAAGTGTAAATATTGCCCGAAGGAATTCTTTACGAATCAACAATTGCTGGTGCACGAACGGATGCACACGGGAGAGCGGCCGGTCCAATGCGATTTATGCCCGAAGACATTCCTCTCGCCGCTTGCGCTGAAAAAACATCGCCGTGTACACACCGGAGAGAAGCCGTTCGAGTGTAAATTCGTAAGTATTTTTTTTTTTTTTTTAATCAAGTCGCACTTACGAGTATTTTATCATTCCTCAATATCATGTATTTTTGACAATGACCGATAATTAAGTGTAGAAATAATAATACTTTTATTGCGCTGTTTTTTTATTACAAGCTAGCGTTACGGGTGGAAATGTATCGTCGTAAGTTTTTAATTTAATCATACACGAATTACATTAAATGAAAGTTCAAATGCACATAAGCATTTTTGCTGTACAGTCGTGGACATATCAGTTGCAACACATTTTTTTAAATAGGTTTTGAAACGCATATTGATCATAATCAATATTTTGCAAATGCGAACCACGATTGGTGTGCACTGTCTCTAGATTAAAGATAGTACACCATCGTGGTTCGAATTTGCAAAATATTAGTTACCTATAAAAAATATATTATATATATATTAAACATATACTAAAAACCTATGAGAAAAAAGTGTTCGCAACCGATCTGTCCACGACTGCACAATATCAATCGATTTCCGTGCAACTTTTTACGCAAGTACTAATATGAGAATTCGTGTTGTCAGTGTCAGAGAAAGTTTGCCGCGCGCGAAACGCTGAATCGCCACCAACGGACGCACACGGGCGAGAAACCGCACACGTGTCAGTATTGCGGCAAATCGTTCATACAGGCGGCGCAATTACGAGCACACGTGTTCCATCACACCGGCGAGAACGGTTTCTACTGCGACGTGTGCGGCAAGGCGTTTAATCGGAAGGCGCGTTTAAATATCCACAAGAAATTCACGCACGAGGGGGCGATTCCATTCACGTGCGCGGTCTGCGACAAGGGCTTCACGCGAAGGGAGGACTTGGTGAAACACTCACTGTTACACACTGGCATCAAACGTAAGCGATATTTGGATTATAAAAGGGAATTATTACGAATTATGAATAAACATCATGTTTTTTAAAAATACGCTGCATTTTCGCTCGCTGCTCTCTGGAATTTTCTTGGAGTGAATCTCACTCCAGGGGTGTGAAAATACTGCCACTCGGCTACTCGAGTGGCAGTACATTTACTCCAAAAAATTTAGAGAGTGTGTTTATTACAATGTTTAACTTGTATAGTAAACTTAATGTACAATGTATTGTAAACTTTCTTCGCTTTGCGTTTCAGCGTTCAAATGCGACAAGTGTCCGAAAGCCTTCTCGGCGAAGTCGTCGTTGCAGGCTCACCTCAACACCCACAGACGCGAACCGCCCCAGTCGTGCGTCGAGTGCAACAGAGTGTTCATCCGGCAAGACTGTCTGATGCGGCACATTCGGGCGAAGCATCGGGAACTGCTGGAGGACGTGATGAACGAGGTCGAGAAGAAGCATTTGCAAACGCAGTTGTTTAACATCGCGTCGGCCGCCGCCGCGAAAACGAAAACCGGCGAATCTAAAAGGCTCTCCACCAACGAGTTGCTGAAGGCCATCATAGATCTCCTGAGGGTACTTATCGACGAGGAAACATTACAGGTATGACTCATAACTCGTTTAATTTAATTTGACTGAATTATATTGGCCTTTCAAATTATATTAATTTAATTTTGATATTGGCAGCTGTTCGGTTGGCCGGAGGCTCCGATACAGGATATCCTCGAAGCCGTGATCAGAAGATGCGGACACGAGCCGACAACGTCGGATGCCAACGTAATGTTCACTGAGCGGCTACGACAAAATGTCAAGCTTCTGTTCACCGTTGTCGTCGACACGATGAACGACGAAACGGTGAAGTCTCTCTTGACGACGAAAACGGTGGACGACGTCATTCTTCACGTTTTAGAAATATCTAACCGGAATTAGAAACGAAAAGATATAAGATTATGCGAGGAACGACTATGCTTTTTTCTTAATATTTCCTTGAATGCTTCAAGATTTACGATCACGTAAAAAAAAAAAGACAATGAGAGGTAATTTTAAGTAACGAATTCGTGTAAGATATCGAAAAAGATGAGATTTTTTAAATAAGTGACATAATTTTAGACATTTTTAAAGTTAAACGGATAAGTTAGGTTACCGTCATAACCTACAATTTTACGTGTCTTTTAGAGTATTTTAAAAATTTTTATTCGATATTTAATATAATTTTAATCTACTTTTAAGTAGAATAGACATATTTTTTATCTTAATTATGGTCGATCTAAAAAAAATAATTATGCAATAATTTTCTCGAGTATATACTATAATGAAAAGATTACAGCAAGGTTTTTTAGAGTCTAGACTCCTGTGTGGTATCACGGTATACGAAAAATAAGTGTGTATACCGAGGATTAATACATTTATTAGAATATATGTTGCACATACATTTAGGTTTACGATTATTATTCTTGTATGCAAGAGATTGCATTTATACGCAATTCTAATTCAGATTAATTGTATATACAAACGAAGTATATTTGTGTGCGCATGTATACACATATATATATGTATAATATTTTATATACTACGTGGATGGGTGAATAAAGTGCACGCGAATTTGTCGAAATCATATTTAAAAAAAGCATTAAAAAAAAGATAAATCTCAAGTTTAAATTTGAGTTTAAATCAGTTTCATTTTGCCCGCGCATCGCTCCGTCGAGACGTCACCATGGTTACCGTTCGAATTACGTCGTTGGCGGCTTGCGTGGGGGATTCGCGGCCGACTTCCGGCATCCGGTTGACAGTGCAGCGGGCTGCGCTTCGCCGGACAGGAGTCGTCTGAAGTCGCTCGCGCGCGTCCGAGGATTCGCACCGAAGGAGGGAACGGCAGGTTCCCCGAGGACTCGTGGCAACTCGATCCGAACCGGATCTCACCCCCGACGGTGAGTACACGCGCGCACCTCCTGTCGTCGTAGTCTGCGTCTCGTACATCGCGAAATGTCAAGCGCGGATCGGGTCGGCGATGCGGCGCACGTTGCGTGTCGGAGCGAGGCCATATCGATTTTCCACCCTTTCGTGCGACGCAGTCGCGCAGCCGCCCGCAGATCGCGGCTGACGCGGATCAGGCGGCAACTCGAAGCGGATCGAGCGAAATGTTCACGCCGTTATAATTTCGAATGTTTCCTATCAAAAGGAAAATTTTATTTCAGGTATAAAATATCTATGGGGCTGTGTGTGTGTGTGTGAAGTTGTCCTCTCTGCCGTCTTGCGAAATTTAAGAAAGCGCGAAATGGAACGAATTTAATTAAAATAAATTTACGCGAGACTATCTCTCCTCGGGAAAAAATATATATTTTAAATATATAGTCCACTCATTGCCAAAATTAATGAAAGAATATAATTAAAAGCAATTAACTTGTGTCCAGTTTCAGAACGTACTTGTCTCATTATGTCCAACCGATCGCGCGTGCCTTCGTAATTTCACTCCTTCAACACTTGATTTGTGCGATATAACGAGCGATCGTCGTTATTTTAGATACATTTCTCTATTCATCGTACCTCATTACCGTTTCCTCTACGAGATATTTCGTGCACGCGCGGAAAATTTATAGTCTACGGAAGCGCGAATCGAAACGGAACGTCTGCGCCGAGCAATTCGAAACGCCCCGTTTCTCGCGCGTAACGGTAGCCTCCCCCGCGTGCTGTGCGCGCGCACCGCGACTGCCGTTGGCCACGTGACGTCGCACTACCGCCGCCGCGCACTTCACTTCACTGCGCTCATTCGCGGCCCGAACGCAGTGGTGGACGCGTGTGTGCGTGCGTGCGCTCGGAACGTGACGCGAGAGAGAGAGAGATCAGTTTTGCTCCGCGACGCTGCTGCAGCGTGTATCCGCACGTATACGCGGGCGGCGACCGTCCAGGGTGACAACCGGCCGCGTCCAGCCGCGGTGCTCACCAGCCGAATCGGGGGAAGTCGCGTCGCCGGCAGACGTCAGCCTCGCTGCCGTCGGGTCTATCGATCCGCCTCAAGGTTAGTGAGCGTGTAACCAGGAGTGCGCCGGCGATGCTTGACGCGGCGCTCTCCTCGACGGCGCCTCGCCGCCGCGCCGCGCGCGCTAGAGAGCATTCCTCGCGTGTAAGCTAATTCGTTTATATATAGAGCGTGATGCACCGCCGCCTTCCTGTGCGCGCCTCAAGATTCTCTCCTCCCTGGCCCGCGGCGGGATTTCGCGACGGGGGCGGAGATGCGAGAGATCGATTCGCGATAGAACGCGACGGAGATTAATCGAGGTTCCCCCCCCCCCGCTCCCGCCGCCGATATGCACATAAACATTTCTGCCGTCGCGGGGCACGGCACGATACGCAGGCAACGTGACGCGGATAGACTTTCGATTGTGCAGCGACGAGGAAAAACACAATTCCCCTGAGACAATATCGCGAGACATCGTCGCGTTGCACTCGGCGAGACGAGGAGACTCTCCCTCAGGAGCGCACGAGCAGATCCGCGGGGGCACTTAATTTTTATGCGATCGCGATCATACGTAATCGACGAGACCGACGTATTATTTCTTATAGTGATTCTTTAATGAGCAATTGAGCAATTCTTTAATGAGCTTGAAATTAGTTCTCGGCGAAGGAACTTGGCGAGGAAAGTCGCGGGTCGTTCTGACGACGCGGGAGATTCCCTCGTAATTGAGAACTCGGCTCCACTTTCCGTGGTGGAATTCCACCACTCTCTCTCTCTCTCTCTCTCTCTCTCTCTCTCTCTCTCTCTCTCGTACTCCTCTTCTCCCGCACACAAAAAAAATAAGACCGTAATTTATTTACGCTCTGCCGCGGCACATCCGAGGTCTCTCTCATTCTTCAAGGATTAATTAATACGGCCGTCAATTGATTCTCCTCCTCCCCCACCTCAACAAATTTCCGCTCGCGCACGAGGATAAAATCAATTTGAAATTCATCGAAGAATCTGTCATTGCAAAACAGATCGGAGATATTGGGATATCCTGTGTGTGTACGCGCGCACCGCGCCGCTCGATTTTCCGATTGAAACTTCCGATCGACATATCGGAATTAAATTCGATCTCTCGTTCAATCGAGTAATTATTGTAAAATATGTTCGCGGATAACTTTTACAATAATTCGTTATACGGATAATTAAGCTCACGCGTAATTAAATCATTTTTCCCCACATTTGTTTCTCGATATTCAGAAGCGAACGCGAATTTTATTAAAACTTTTCTCGTCGTATACAATATATCGTGACGTTTATTCTCGTCTTAGAATTTATATTTGGAATGTTTATTGAAATAAACGAATGCTGATTGCATATTTTTCAGTTGCGTTTCAATAAAATACATAGCCCATTTTGATTGATATATAATTCGGATTTCAGAATAAAATTTCATTTATAATTCTGCATGCAGTGCATTTTATGCGTGTCTACGTATTTAAAATGAATTAAATTTAAATTTTTATTAAAAATAATTTTCATTTTATATATGCATTTTTATGTATGCATGCATTTCTGAATTTTCAAATGTTTTTCATGTTATAACGCGACACGCATAAAATTACGAATGTAATTCTATCCTGTATTCTGGCACAAATGTTACATTGTCTAACGCGGGATTGACGCAAAGTGAAAAACAGAAAATATTAAAAAAAAGATGCAGAATAAAAAGGATTTTAAATTGCGTAGAAAGTTAATTTTTTTCCAAAGTTAGCTTTTTCAGAATTTATCACGTTCGACATTTCGTTTATAAATCTCACTCGTGTCTCGCGGTTTACCTAATAATGAAGAATGTATACTTTTCTGTCGTTGCTCTCGAATGAATTTATTCTTCTCGCATTATCGAGAGGTCGTGTAGCGCGAGAACGCAATCCAGAATAATTTGATCATTGACATTTAGAGTTTGACATTTGTCGCGTGTCCGGCCGACCGGTTTTCTAGACATTTTTCGCAGGGCGAGATCAGCTGTAAGCTCGATATAAGGACGGCCGTGCACTTTGAGTAGTTTTCGCCCAGATCCTCGCTCGTGTGCAATTAAAATTAACAGCTAATTTCACCGTTGTCGGTTTGTCATTTTGCGAAACTGAATTGTCCTTATATCTTAATCACGCGCGGTCTACGTTGCAGCTCGCCGTTGTTATTAATTTAAAGAGACTGAATTGTTTCCGCGGTCTCGCGCTTTCAAGTTGAAAAATCTGGAAATGATATAAAATATGCATATTATACGCAGATAAAGATAATTCCTGGCCCCTTTGTGCGATGCGCGCGGCAGTTTCATTAGACAATTGTTGTACGTAAGCTTGCTCTTGCAAGAACGTGTTTGCTGTTTGACCAGCAAAAAAAAACCAGCAAAAAAGCGCCTAAAAATGAGAGTAAAACGAGGCTTCCCTAATATTGAATTAATTTTCTCACTTGTCGAGGTGCGCGACCTCTCCAGAAATTTTTTAAATATATCTCCGTGATTATTTATTTTTCCTGGTTATATAAGACATTTTTTTTTCGTAAAATGCGTAAAGCGAAGGTCAAAACAAAGATAATTCAGAATTGCGCAAAATAACACACCAACAACGGCAAAATCGATTGTTAATTTTTAATCGTATGATAAGCGGATTTGACGGAGGACTGATCTTGAAACATCCCGGTATTACATCTCGTGACTGGAAAACCGATTACGGCTGCCTCTCGTTTTTTCCCCATATATCTCGTATTAAGCGCCGTTCCTGCTTACGCAGGTGTAAGTGATTCACGTGCACGCGCGTGTGAATGGATAATAAAAATATTGATTTTCTCATCTATCTCCCCCTCCTCCCCCCCCTGTATTTATAGCGATGCTCCCGTATCCTATCCCGGTATCTATAAGTTGCGCAATACTTTCGACACATTACACACACACACCCCCATGCCACCAGCCATTGTTGCGTACGAAGGCCGCGGGGGCTGTAGAGTGGGCGGCGGGGGAGGAAAAGGGGAGGAAGGCATAAATTGCGAGCGGGATCTGTCGCAAATATAATTACCGCGATAATTTCACTCGAGTTCACCCTGCCGATCCCCCCCCTCGTCGCATCCCACCGCTCATGTTTACTATCGACGCTGCTTTCGACAATATATCGCGCGAGATAGAGACGCGCGCGGCGTACATTTCCGACGATTATTAGCAAAATATTGAAGCGGAGTCGCATCGATTGAGCACCGGTCACGATCAAAACAAGATAAAACGTTAAAAGTAATTGCGATGATAGTGGAACACGCGATAGAGATCGCGCTTTGCGGGAGGGAAATAAGTCAAACTATAACAGTTAGAGACATCGTTGTCCCGATGGTTCTCTTTGTTTTATGTTTCGCGAAAGTCGACGCAACGTTAACGTTTGTCGCAGAACAAACGTGGTCTGGAGTTAAAACGTGACGTGTAAACGGCGCGGAACAATGTCACATTCCTCATGCTCCGATTGCATCATCAGCATCAGCGGCGCGTGACAAAATGCAGGTTACCGATTAGATAGCAATTTCACCTTTAAGTACGAGTAATATTGCGCAACGAGGAAGGCGAGATATAGGCAGATCGATGGGTGCTGCTCATTGACGCCGCCGGGCACGCACCGTGAACTTTTCGACGCCTGCAGTCGCGACCGACGGGCGACAAATTAAAAAGTAGCGCGTTAGCAATCACACGCCCGGGCGGGTTCTCGAAAGATAGAAACGGAGAAAAAAGAAGAAAAAAGAGATCGGGGTCTTTATGCGATTTTTCGCTTCGCTCCGACGGAAATAACTTTCTCGCGGCCGCGGGAAATAAAGTTCCGTTCCTTCTCGCTCGTCATCGTTCCATTTGCATGACGAATGCGTGCCGCGATTATGAAGCGTAATCGTCGCGCCGTGGACTTATTTTTTTTTTCTCACGAATAAGAATTCCTGTGTTCCTCTTTTATTGCGCGCCGTAAATCGCGCCTGTATTATTAACGGCGTTACACGACGTTATTTCGTTACTTTAACATCAATTTTCATAAAATTTCTAACAAAGTAGCACTTTTTATAACGTTTATGTGCACCGTCGTTTATAACCGTCGCGATAAAATTCATTCCCGCGGCATGTCTGCCCGTTGGCCGTCGAAAGTGTCTCGTTTCCATTCTGCGCGAATGCCAGATAAAAACGCGCTAAAATCTCTCCGGTCTTCATTTCTTTCCCCGTGATCAAACGACTCGGGGTAAAGCAATCGGGATTTTATTTCTGTCGTTTTTCCGCGAGAGAGTTTTATCTGCGCGCGAGCCTCGACGAGGCCTTCTCGTCTCCTCCTTTTTTTTTCCCCGCCCCGAGGCACTAACGGGTTGCAACGTGTGCAACAAACTGGTGCAAGTGCATCCAGATCGCCGCATCGTCGTTCCACGCTGCGGCACGATCGACCGCACACGTGTCATTTAGCGTATCCTCCACCACCCACTTGCGTGCTTCTATCGCCCAGGTCGTGGGTGGATACACGACGACTGACGTCGTCGTATCGTGACGCCGCGATCGCGCCGCCAATTACGGTCGCGTAACCCTTAGAGGATCGCCGAGTACCGTAGGCTTGCATGACTATAATCCTCCCTTTTTTTTTCTAATTTTTACGGGGTTACGGAAAAATCCCAGAGTCTGTCGACCTCGTTCGTTACATCTGCACGAATGTTTATCTGTCATTGTAATTCGTGAAACATATATATGCCTTAGGGGAAACGGTGAGATAAAATCAAGGTCTCGTCCTCTTTTATTTTTCATCGGTGTAAATAATTTAGCTTTAAATAACTGAGAGAAGCAAAGACGTGAATAGGAGACTCCTGAAAGATTCTTATGAGGGTAAAATGTCTAAATATTATATAAAAATTCTCTAAAAATATAGGAAATTTTTTAAAAATATCTTTAAGAAAATTCTCTCTCTCTCTCTCTCTCTCCGAGTTAAGTTGACAGATACTTTGGAAAATGTATCTGGTTTTTTTAACTAAAAGAATTGGAAACAGATAATTTTTCATATTACAATATTATTACATATTAAGGCAAATTAAGATCGTTGTTTACATGGTTTATTTGCGCCTGAAATTTTTGGCAAAAAATTTTCTATTGCAATCGTGTGCCTGACCGGCTTTTTAACGGTCATCGACGGTGATCTGATCACATTCGAATCTGCCAATCGCGCGGTCGCCCGTGATCTTGGCGAGCGATGCCAAAATCGGCCGCGACGGCGAGGTACCTTTCACCCTGGAAACCTGCCAACTTTCTCCGAGGGCAAGGACAAAACCGGCCAATAAGTTACGCCCCGCCATCCCGTTACATTGCCACTGGTATACTCGTACTAACGAGCCTCCATTAGTCATTGCATTCGTCATTATTTTCATCTTCCCGTCTCGTCCTTTTAACGACGGTATATCTGTTTCGTGAATAATACGTCTCGCCCACGCACACAGACACACAGAATCTCGGGATCGTTTTACACCGCGACGCGGTTATCCCAGACAGACCCGAGACCACAAATCAGCGGCTGGATTCTGATCGCGAATATTTCGGTAGTGTTTTCCCAAGATGCAGCCTGTTCATGTTCACGTCGGACGATATAGGAATCCTGCGGTTTTCAGCGTCACAGATCCAAGAACCCCCGGGGAATTTTCCGCGGTCTGCGAGACCGGTCGTTATGAACTTATATCTCTCGCTGGGATAGTTATTGGTCAGCTGCATCGTGCGTGTTCATATTCAACTTAATTGTTTATTGTAATACTTGAACATCAACTATTTCCGTTTGCAATTATGGTTGGTGGAGGTTATTTTTTAAATATGAATATGAAAGATTTTAACATTTTTGAAATCTTTATATATTTTTTATGTCATTCCTAATATCTTCGATGAATTTTTTTTAGATAGTTTTTAAAAGAATCTTAATTTAAAATTATTTAAAGTAATTTTTTTGCTATTTGAGTTTTTATGAATTTTCATTAAGAAGTCACGCGATCGAGAATTAAAATTAACATCGTTATACAGTGGATGTCAAGCTCGAAAGAAGAAAAAAGGGGAACATATATCTTGAAAGCGTTCTAATATTTGATACTTTAACATTAAGTACTTTTCTTTGCGTTTAAAAGAGCATCGGCAACGGCTTCCCATCCCTCGCCTCGAATCTTCCACCTATATAAAAAGTCTCATTAGAAATGCCCTTTTACGCCGCTCTAACGACGATTCGCGGCGGGAAACGCGTCTCTGTTTCTTGACCTGCCCGCACCTAGTCCGACCGACCAGCTGATCGTTTTGTCCTGGTCGCGCCGGCCACGTTGGCGTTGAGGGAGTCAGCCGAAGAGGATAGACGAGAACGAACGAACGTACGAACGAACGTCGACGACGACGAGACGATGACGACGGAGACGCCGCGTCGCGTCTGCGCGTCCCGACGCCATCGTCGGTGGGTCGGTCGGTCGGTCGGTCGGGGGTATTGATTTTCCACGCCGTCATGTGTGAGTGTGCAGTCGCGCACACGCGCTGACCGCACACACACACACACACATATATACACGTATACACACGTAAATTTACACATACATTCGCCGCAACGACCGGCACACCGCGGCGCGGCTGCCAATCCGCCCGCGGAATTCCGCAAAGTCTCTCCCCGGCGTTGTCGTCGAGTGGTACCCTCCGGCTACCTCGCGAGGGCTTCTCTTGGTCGTGGTCGCGCGGTCGAGCACGAGTAACGAGAAACGTTCTCGAGCTCGCTCGTTCGTTGCCCGTTACCGTTTGCGCACCGATCTCGGCGTCGCGCGGTCGCCGAAGGGGGAAGGTAGTCCTCGTAGACGGTGCTCTCTCCGACGGCGGCGACGTTGTCACTCCCACCACCCTGCTCCTCGTCGCCCTCCCCCGAGGGGAGAGGGTGGTCTCTGGGTGGACGCGACTCCACGAGGACGGCGCTGCCGTTTCGCCAGGTCCCGGCGAGCGTCACGTCCGGTACCACCGCGCGCCGCGTATCCACGTAGGGTATCCAAACTTCTCCGGGCAACCGCGTCGCCCCCTCTCCATCCGCGCGACGGAACGGACAGAGTCTGATCTCGCGCTCGCTGGTTGGCGTGTTGCAGGCTGCGGTAAGCTCGCCGTTCCGGCAACCAGGAAGCGGCGTCGTCGTCGCACCGTCGCCGGTATCCCGAGGCGCCGGCAGGCGGGAAGGCGGACATTCGCCCGAGAGGAAGAGGAAGACTGTCGCCCGGCAGCATCTAGCCCCGCATCAGGCACCCAGACCACCAGCCGGCGATGCCTGCACCGACGTCAGCGGCGGGTGCGGCCGAGGGCGGCCCGCCCCGCACCGAACTGCAGGAGTTACAGCTCAAGGCCGGTCAGACTACGGATGAAGTGAGTTGAGATATATATGTATACATTTATAGATATATGTATACACACATATATATATACATATATATATGTGTATATATATATATATATATATATATGCGTATACATGTCACGCGATGTGACAGCCACGAGGATTTACGACGCGGGGGTTGAAAGCGACGTAGTTTCGCCGAAACTTCGAGTCCCGATTTTAATTGCGCGAGGATAAACTGTTTATCCATGACAATAGGAAGGCGACAAACAGCGTAAAATCCTCTCTCCCGCGTAACTGTTGGATATTTATCGAATAGAAACATCCCCCGCAGATCTTTCATTTTCAGCAAATCTGATACGTTATTTAGCATCTTCAATACGAGCTTATCGCGACTTATTTATTTACTTACATTTGGCTCAAGATTGCTAAAAAAAAAAGTAATTTATTGACGGAGCCGTTACCGCGTGTTTTATTAATATTATAATTATCAATAATTATCCTTGCTAATTAGAAGAACTGTAAACTTTGATAATTTCTGAAAACTAATATTAATAACACGATGAAATCGATCTTTTTGAATAAACTATATTTCCGTAACACAAAATTATCAACGCTGGAAATCCGAGAGAAGGAAACCGTACTTTTGCTTTTTCTTAGAAAATAATCTATAAGGCTAGCGAAAATGTAGCAAAGATAAAATAAAACTGCGAAATTATAGCCCCTTCGGAACAAATTTAACTTTTATAATCAGCACATCCGCGATTCCTCGCGTCACACGTGGGTAACCGGCGTGATCGGCTTTGTTTCAGTCTCTGGAGAGCACGAGGCGTATGCTGGCGCTATGCGAGGAGGTGAGTCTGTCCCTTTCGGTATTTGATCCCTCCTTCACTTGCGCATCGACCCCTCGATCCTCTCTCGATCGTCCTCGAGATCCCGCGTCGGTGCACCGTTCCCTCTTACCCTCCCGTGAATAATACCGAATATCCCGTGTAAGCGGCCCTCCCGCAACCACCTCGTTTACAATTAGTCCCCTGTAAAACCTCCCCGAGCCTCGAATCCACCCCGAACTCCTCCTGTCTCTGTCTCGTAAACTAGGAACGATTTTCATCGACGAATTGTTGCGCGCTGACTGCGGCAAGACGGGCGCTACTGCTCGCTTGGAGTTCCACCTCAAACTGCTTGAAAAAAAAAAAAGAGAGAAAAAGTAAAAGAAAAAAAATGGCAGCAAAGAGAAAAAGGAGTCGCGCCAGAGAGAGGTGGGCAAAGTACTATTTCGATCGTTAACCGGTCAAGTGGCGAGTATTCTCTCGATTCCATTCACGTATAATTCGCGCTGCCGGGGGTCTAGCTAGTAGACCGTGAAGTAGACTTGAACCAGTAAAGCATCGAGTACGAAACGATTGAATACGTAGTCTCGACCGATTGTGTTTGAGTCAGGAGGACTGTAGACTATAAGCACCTGAATACTTTCGAATTAAATTTTTCCCCCCCGAAGTTTCCGCGCGTCTAATTTATTTGTCGACCGAAGAACGAAGTCTCGTATATCTCGTCCTTTTCTGCCGCGGTTTCATTAATTACAATAATTGACGAACGCCACTTGACTGGTTAAGCGTTGCTCTTAGCGGGCGCGCCGATTCCGCCTTGCGCAAGATTTCACGCCGGCGAAACCAACAACCTCCTGCGGGATCTCCAAGTCGCAGGGGGATGAGGAGAGGAATGCTTCGAGGGGGCCGTACAGAGGGAAACGGGGGAGGACGTAATTGCAGGTGACGTCGAGGAAACGGGGACCAGAAAACGTGCGATGTTTTCTCGAAGTAGTATTTTATCCAGCTCTGGCGCCACACGGAGGCGACGATTTCCCGGCGGCGTGTGTTGCGGTCCGAGCGTGTAAAGAAGGCCACGGGTATAAAACTGGATCGTTTCGCGACGAACGAAGTGGAGTGGGTTCGCTCCTCAGGGGAAGGGAAGGGGGAAACAACGGAACCCACAGTGCCTGCGATCTTAGAATCGCGAGAGAAGAAATCATTAAAAAAAATAAAATAATGATAAGAAAAGAAAGAAAGGAAAACCGATCGGGGGAGAACGAAACGACCGCGTGAACGAGCGTTTGCTCGCGCGACGATGAAATTTGTAAGACGACGCATCGACGCGCTCCGAGAGACGGCGAGGCGCCTCGCGAACGTGCGCAAAAGAGGGATACCCCTCTCGTACCTCTCCTTCTGTCGAGTAGACTTCCGTTCGTAATTACAAGGGTGGTTCAGACGGGGACTCGGCTCGGAAAGATATATTGCGAGCAATTGTATGGATCCAGGTGTTCTCCACTAAACTGAAGATATATGTGTACGAGCACATATTGTTTCTTTTATTTATGTCGATTTCAGCGTAGAATAAGGATGTAAACGAGTATTTCGTTACCATCTAGAAATAGTCGTTTACTTTAATAATTGAGATGAACGCGTGTGTGAAACTCTATTCTAACAGTACTAAATTTTACCGAGTGTATTTGATATAAAATATTAAAAAACAGGAACTGAACCATCCTATGTTCGTTTTTGTCCGTTTTCAATATATATATTTTTTTTATTATTGCAAGGCACTCATGTCACATTTCCCTTCAGTTATGGATTTTTTTTTCAAAAGAATCTTGTTCTTTGTTGAAAAAAAAAAACACGAGGATAGGAAAGAAAAATAAAAAAATCATTCTTTCGTTAAATACATATTTTATAGAAATATATATTTTAAAGAAAATAAGAATTTAGAATATGAAAAGAACTTAACTTTTTTTGAAAATCTCAAAATGTTTTACTACTTAAAATTAGAAAAGCTTACAATCAAAATTTCCTAAGAGGAATACCCATTAAATCAAAGAAGATTAATTTATCAAAGAACTTACTCGGACGAATATCCAATAAAACTCTAAAGCGCCGCATTATAACGGATATACTAGAAGAAGCAATTTCGAAAGAATTTACTGTTATTTACTTAAAGAAGGATACTCGGACTGGATTGTTTTCACTTTATTTTTGCTATATACGTATAAAATAATGTTGGGTAATTTTCAGTCGAAAAATATCGATTCAATTTTTTCCTCTAATTACACGTAAAAGGATCTCAAAGAGAAGGACCGTTTAATGATCCGCGGAATAAAGCGCGGAGCGTTTGTCGAAAAATTTCTCGGGGTGAGAGGAATGTTTCTCGACAACCGTGCAGTTGGATTTCGCCTCTCAAGTTTCGCATCGCTGTTGCGGAAGTGGCGACGTATGAGTACCTTTTCGACTCCGCTCCGCGTATTGATCTAACGCGTTCCGGCCGCGTATTTGCTCGCGAATGTTACTTTACGATATTGCGTGCGTGCGTTCGCGCGTGTGCCACGACCGTGAAAGAAAAAGAAAATATATATATATACGATCTGTCTGCATTTTCTGCAGCTCTCCACGTTTTCTTTTCACGCATATAATTATTCGCTGTGTCTAATATCTGCTATATATACTATATTCTCGATACATATTATGTGTGTGCGCGCGTGTGTACATCTCTATACACGAATGTGATACGCGATTCTCTGTATATCTCTGTTTTTTGTACATATTTGTATACGGAGATTGTTTGCTCTTCTTCTCCTTTATCTTTAACTTACTATACTTGTCGAAGGAACGCACGCAACTGGCTTCTGCGGTCAAATCGAATTGTTGTTTCCGACAATCGGCCTTAGCGAAGTATTCATTATTATTATTAACACTCGTGGACAATGATCGGGCTTTTCTGAATTCGAAAAAGCTCGGGGATTATTTTTCAATTCAATGCAACGTTGACTTAATTTTTTGTTATCATTTTACATTGATTAATGTTATATATTTCGCACGATTATTATTAACATAAGTATCTCTGAAAAAAAGTAATATTTATATACAGTCTGAATTCGACATTAGCTCGCAATGTGGCTTGAGTAAAATTACACGAATTTTTAACTAACTTTTACACTTTTACAATTGCGTGATGTTAGACAAGTCGCGAATTCGCTGTAATTTCATTTGTTTTTGTTCGCACAACTTTCGCAAGAAATACAATAATCGCGAAAGCGGTACTCGAATTTCCTTCGCTTCGTGAACGAAAGAGAATCCCGCCGAGGCCCTTGCGTCGTTCCGTTTCAGTCTTTCTCGCTGCTACTTATCTACCTGTGGCTGCACTAATAAGCACGTGTCGCATTCTTCCGAGCACCGAAGACGTCCTTCGAATTCATCATCGACCAAGTGAAGCGTACGTACACACACTCCAACAAGGCGCAAAACGCGCGTCATCATCGTCACGTCGCGGCGTCGTGATAACGGCCGTGCGAACAGCCGATCGTGAGCTGTCGATCGACTGCCGGGAAGCGAGTCGCGGGCCGATTGCGAGCTTCCCGACGGGGGAGGGGGATGAAACGTTCTCGTAAACTGCTGGGGACTGCGTGACTTCCTTCTCTGTTGACACGAGAGAGGTTGAATCCCCCCGAAAGTCTCCGTGGCGTGAATTGCGGGAGAACGACGGCGACCGGTCGTCCAGCTCTTTGTCTCGTAAAGCTCGAGATCGTGATATTTCTCGTCACCGGACGAGAATCGACTCGCGGTACACCCGCATCTCTTCCGTGACCCCCAAGTTCGACACGCAAGTTCCCTCTGCGCGATGGTGTGCGAGCGACTGTTTTTCTTTTCTCTCTTTACCCTTTTAGCTCTTGCTTGAAACGTTATACGTTTTGAGCGATCGATTTTCTTGTAACGAAAGTTTTATATTAAGGGTTTAAAAGGATTATTTTAGAAAGTGAAGAAAGTGAGACTTTTGATAAGAAAAGTTTAGAAGGAAATGTATTATTTTTTATCTAGGTATATAAATTCTTTCCCCCATTTATTTTCTGCATTGTTTGCCCGTCAAAATGATCAAAGTTATAATGATTTGTATAATGAAATTACTTATAATATTTATAAATTATTTATAAACCTCACATTTAATGTATTTCTCCTGAATTTCGATTTTCGTGGCGGTATTTCTTTTATTGAATCAATTTATAAGATAATTCCTTATTTATTTATTTACTTCCACAAATTAAGCGGCAAATGCATCTTATTGTGGGACAATTTTCCGCCGAGTGACTCCAATTAGCCCATCATTATTCGGCCGATAGACACTTCCTATAATATTTCTATACCGATTTATATCGGAACGCTAAAACGTGGTAATTGCCAATTAACGCTAATGTGATTTCACGTGCAATCCCATAGACTACACAGGACAAATGTGCGGGCCAATCAGATACGATATAATAATAATTAATTAATGACGGCAGTAAATGATATATTAGATACTAACGAGTATGTATGTACATTATCACATTACGAGATTAATATTTATGATCGCGAAAATAGCTTTCGTCAGTCAGCTTGCGCACCGTCGACGCAGACATGGCGTACGTTTCCCTATCTTCTCTTCTCGTATCTCTGCGAAGGGCAGTCCCTTCCCTAGCTCTTCCCTGTATGTGTGTACCTTCTTTAATCGCGCGGCATATCGCGTGCCTCTACGATCGCTTGTATTATATACGTATAGACAAGTAAACGATATTTCAACGACCGGTGCTTCTCTTCGTCGTCTTCCTTCTTGGATGAGATTGTAACGCACACGAGGATTCGAAGACGCAGAAGGCAATGGCCCACCTCGTCGTGTACCTTGACGCACAATTAATCCCGGCGATTTGCACGTACGCGCGTATTGTATTGTACCGGAAACGTGGCGCAAAACGATTTTTGTTGTGCTGCGCAGCACGCGAATTATACCCGACGACACAGTGTTGAAGTTCGCGATAGCGCAGAGCGAGCTGAGG